TCTAAAAAATGAGGCCCCCAAGTAGTTACGAGGTCAAATAGAACAAAGTGAAACTCAATACTGTTAATGGTTGTCGCAAAGATCCGGCAACTTGATTTTCGCACGTATGAAAGTAACACTGAGGTCAACTTACTGGGGTTCCTGATATACTCAGCTAATCCGGGATGCACTACCCCGGCTTACTCTGGTCTGTCGACTTGGCCATAACTTCAATAGCAATATTATCGGTCCATTGTGAATCCTCTTTGTTGCTATGATTTCGTTTCTGTCCAGTTGGTGCTACAGGTCCAAGGCCAAGGCCACCACTAGCGCGACTGCGCCAATCGGCAGGGCCCCTTGGTGACTCAGGTCTGGAAATAGAATGGCTTGACTGTCTAGAGTTCAAATCTATGTTGGAGATCAACGAGTGCGGTGACATAAGGGAAGTGGGCAAAGCTAACCAAGCCTGAGATCCGAGCAGGAGAGAACCTGGATCCTTCTCTCCCAGACTATCCTGGTTAGTTAACAAGTATGAAAATCCTGGATTGGCTTCAGGAGCGGCGCCAGGAGAAAGAGCAGAAGTAACTGTTACTAATGTCTGCGGTTGATTATTCGGACTTGTTTGACGGACGCTGTGTGGACTATAGGACAATGAAGAAACAGGAGAGATAGGATCGGAGGTGTATAGTTGTCGACGTAGACGAGTCATCGACCCAATTACAGCAGCAGAAGCGTCAGCAAGAGGCGCCATTGCTGGAAGGGTAACCTGTCCACACATAGGAACTCTGCCAGGGAGAGATCGCTGGTGGCGATGAAAACAACAAGGAGGCGGCGGCGACGATCTCGTAATGAGGGAACCAGGTTGACCTGATGCAGAGGTAGAGTCTTCAGATACTTCGGAATCTCCAGTCTTCTGTCTGTTAAAATTCCTGTACCAGACAGGCATACCATCAATTTCCTTGATTTTCAGCCCCATAGAGTCATTATGATCAGAAATCCCAGAGCAGGCAGTCTTAAACAATGGTAAGACAGGAGCAGTTCTAGAGCGAGGCCTCTCAGAGACTAGACCATATCGCTGTGCCCTAGAAGGTACTGGTGTGCCTGGTCCGAGAGGCCATTGCACTACTGCTGCTGGAGGACTTGAAGTGC